GATTTCATGAAGTAAAATTTGGCAACTATAGCACATTACTAAATAAAAATAGCCTAATGAATATTTAAGAGTGGTTTACCTAGCAGCCCACAGTTCCAATGCAACCTGCAGACCATTCCAACTATCCTACTGAACATCTTTTCCCAGGAGAGAAGGGATTACACAGCCTGGGCACCAAACAACCAAAACTAAACGCACCCACTCTGTGAGCTCAAAGCTCGACAGACATGGAAAACAAACAAATATGTGATGCTCTGGTGCTATGCAACCTGGGGATGTTTCAGCCCCTTACAGCCTTACAGCCATAATGGTTATGGAAAAGTTAGTCTTTGGACTAGGATGAGCCTTGCCTTAATCACACCTGGAGCTATGTTACTGGTCAGGAGTAAGACTTTTTCCAATGAATTCTTATCCTGACGCTTGTGTCTGTGTGAGGAAGGCATGGTTGAGAAAGTTCATCTCTTCTGTAAATACCTTGAAAGTTACTGACAAAAAACCCAACCCAACAAACACAAAACAACACAGTATAAATAACAATACCAAGTATTCAAACTTTGGCATGAATAGCAAAACATATGAAAATAATATATTGTGGGTATTTTTGTTAGGATTTTCTTCTGAATTGTTCTTTGATTGTAATTTTAGTATAGAAATGAGGAACAACAATTTCAGGGAGGGATGAGGGAAAATTAAATATGAATGAAATGACTGTTGTATCACTGATACTTCTAAACATTTGGCTTTGGTAATTTGTTAATCAAGAGTGAGTTTAAACAAGGCTTCAACTTCAAGGAAAATACAGCTCCAAATGGAATTAGATCTTGATAAGTTAAACAGCAGATTCTAAAGAGAGGCTTAAGAGTATCCATATTAAAAAAAAAACCAACAAAATGAAACAAACAGCTGGTAAAGCATGATCCTGAGTTGTGTAAGTCACCATTACATCCTCTTTAGCTGTTACTCCTGCTTTAAATGCTCACTGCTTTTATTTGTTCTAATATCACTAATCCATTGCAACAAGCATGTTTGTAACCAAGTGATACTATTCATATTGAATCAAGTAATGCTGAAGCAGTACATTTGTAAGGAAGTCCCAGTTGGTCAAGCACAAACCTTAAACAAAGTATTTCCTTTTCATAATGCCTGAATTTTACTCACTATCTTGGCAAAGTGGATTTTCCATTCCCAAATCTCCTCTTCTGCATTAGTACCATACATAAAGGCACTCATACAGTTTTCAGTTTGTGTTCTTACAGCCTCTCGCATTTTAAGAAGAAATTGCATTTCAAGCAATTCTGTTCCAAACATCCAATTTTAAGATTATTCTTGCACTTGTTTATGAACAAACCCAAATCACTTAATTTAAACATTAAATAGAAACTGGCAACTACCTCCTCCAGTTACAAATGACCAAACTTGTTTGATACGAGCAATCATTTCTGAGTGCTCAGTACCTCTTACAAACTTCCCAATATAGGGAACTCCACTATATAAAGATAAGGGAAATATATTTATTAACCATAAATATGGAGACTAAAGTTGATAGTAAGCGAGGAAGAACAGTAAGACTGGGAACAGCACATCTAAATCCAGACTCAGCCTGTGGAGTCACATACCCATTTCCAGTGGTCCTTAACCACAAAGACATGATTAGAAAAGCAAACAAATGATCAGAGTGAACTGGGCATGGGACAAGATAGAGCTCTCAGGGAAGTGATTACATAGTTTGATCTTCAGCCTGGAAAACAATAGAATTTTAATAATTAAGACTATGTCTTAGTAAGCATTTTAGAAAAGTTTTATGGACTTATCAGCCATTGATAAATAATATCACAACACCAGTGTTAATTTTATTTAACATGCTTTGTCCATTAATAGTCATTTCATTTTCTCTGTACCCTCATGATTCTCATGGTAGCACACCTAATCTCAAGTAAACACCGAGGATACAAGTTGCAATTGTCAGATTAATCCGCTTTCGTTAGAAAACCTTCCAATTATTCTCAAGTGGGAACTGACTTCAAAATCTTTCAGTGATTTACCTCGAATTCAGAAAAGAGCTTCTGCTACATCCAAGAAAACAAGACTTGATCAACTGCCTGGCTGGCGGTCAATGAACTCCCTTTGGAATATGGAAAAGATCTCACATTGATCTTCCTAGGAGCTGTGTGCCAGCCAGTGGTTTAATGTGTGCTATGAATGAGGGAAAAAAGCTGAGGAAGAAAAAATGGCTAAACACTGTTTTGAAAGTTACAATTTTGCTCAAATTAGATGGGAAGTTTCAAAATCAGGAAGACTGCTGTGTTATTGAGAAAAACACCAACAAAAAGCACCATGGAGTAATATCAACAAAAGAAGCATGAAAATGCATAATACCTTATTCTTATTTACAAGGACAGGTGCTGCTGGAGGACAACTACTGAGTTCCTCTCCTAACTTGGGTCCCAAAACTTTTCTTCTTTTGTATCTGACTGAAGGCTTAAATTTGAAGTCTGATGACTGAGACCTGTTATTCAAGCACGTGAACCCTTCAAGTACCGTTTATAGCAGAAGTCATAACTTCTACATTTAAGGTACAATTCACAAACATCAGAAGTTCGTTGGCATGAAGGAAATGGTTCAAGTGACCAAAAGTAAACATCTCTACTGCTGACAACATAGCCAATTTTCATTTCTTGAGTAGCTGGAAAAAATGCAGGAATAACAAACAGGAATAAAAAAAGCCCACAAAAAGCCAAAACCATTATAATCTCCTGGGACAATTTTTCAAAATAAAGTAAAAGTTAAAGAAAACAAGATAAGCAGGTACATGCTTTTACATATGCATGGATAGTACTTGTTTTTCCCCACAGCTTATGTTTACTTCCACAATAACAAAAATTGCTTATATAATCATTGCCTTGTTTTACAATTCAGCTTCTGAAGCTGCCATTCTTGTATCAAATCTTCTAGCATGGAAAGCTAGCACAGGTGCTTACTTTAACCTCAGAGTACATGATCACTGAAATAAATGAGTATGTTTTAAAGAGTGGTAGTATCCCTTAAGCCTGCCAACACAAAAATGTTTCTCAACATTAATGAAAATATTGGCTAGCTTTTTACAGTCAAACTACTTAAATACTCAATGCAAACGAGAATAAGACCAACCCTTGCAACACTCTGCTTTACCATTTGTATCCAGATATTAACCACCTTTTTCCACGTGTCAAGTTTTAGTGTTTTTTTAATATTTAAAACAAAGCTGAAGAATTTTCCAATAGTTTCACTGTGATGTAAGCAAGAGAAAAGCTACACGCATTTGATGACACTTCACATTTACTATTCATCTCCTGTGCTGAAAGCAAAATGTTTCCACTGCATCTGATTTACTCTTCTTAATTTAAGGGTAGACTGCATAGTTAATATGACAAAAATTAGGATGTTAATTACACTCAACACAGCAATACTGAACCTGTTCTGTCACATTACTTTTAAAACATGTTGCAACATAAATGGTTTTAGGTTTTGAAAGACATTTAAGCTCAGGCTTACAAAAGCATTTACATTTTCAAGCATAAAACAAATTCCCCACAGATAAGCCTTTCTTTAGACACTGACGTTAAGACAGTCCCACAAAGAAAGCTAAGGCACACCATGTAATTACTACATTGTTTCAGAATAAAACATGTTTGCTATCTCATTTTCTAAAGTACATCAACAAATTCTGATGAACTATGTTGATAGGATGCTTAACACCAGTAACAGTGGAAATCACAGTTATTTCCATAGAAAACAGTCCTACTGCTAGAAAAGAACTGCTTCAGATTCAGAGATATGGCATGAGTGCAAGAAGCAGTGTTATTAGAATTTGTGTTTAGGTTATTATTTGGTTCATTTACTCACATTTTCCAAACAGTTCTACAAGGCTAATTTACAATTTCAGCACCACACAGAACTGGTACTTTGGAACAAAATGGAAAACTTCCAAAAATCCAATTCCTTTAACAAAAGGCTGTTGCTTTAACATCACCAAGTGAACACTGTGATAGTACAGACACTACAAGAAGGAATAACCTTCTAGAAACACATTCTGAATAAATAAGAATGCAACACATCATTGCTTCAGATATCCAACATCAAATCAGACAGGAAGCAATAATGTACATGCTCCTCTTTCGTGTATTAATAAATCAGCTCAGTTTTAATAACACCATCACTAAAAACTGTAATTGCACCATTATATGCAAACATTTCTTTCTGCACTAAGAGTGGACTGTAATGAAAACTATAGGCAGGTAGAGAAGACACTGCTGAGCAGGTTCAGTTCCACCTCTCACGTAGTCACATTCAGTTAAGCAGTACCTCCATATTTTGCAGTTTGCACTTGCTCAATTTGTTCAAGGTTGCTTTCATGTGAAGACATCCATCTGTACCTCAACCATGGGCTGAACTTACTGATCTTGATGTCGCTAATGTGATCTAGTCAACAGTAGTAAAGGAATGGCTGGCCAAATGATTACAGCAAGTAAAATCCTGTTCTTGGTTCTGCCACGTATAATACAGACTGACAATAAGGGTGACTGGCAGTGCTTTTCACTGCAGTGCATTTTTGAAAGCTTTGAAGTTATATTTGTTTGTTATAACAAAGTTTGTAACAAGAAGAGTGAGTAACTATCATAGGGAATTACATTAGAGAAGGGATCATACACTCTTCAGACGGACAAACACCATGCAGTACAGAAAAGAGTTGGCTATATATACTAAAGATGTGGACATTATTTCACTTTTTCTAATATACAACAAAAGCATCACTATTAAATTACGTCATCCATAGTATACTGTAATTTGAACAGATTAAAACAACTCAAGAGCAACCAAAAGAAAACAGGTTCACAAATCCCAAAATCTAACAGACATGCTGTCATTTATTTCAAGAATGAATAGCATGTTGTGGTTTGTAAGCCACACAAGCAGTAAATTATCCTAACATTTTTACTTCGTAAGATATTATCTTGAATTACCTTAACAGAAGTTCTTTGGGCAATTTTTTGTTAATAAGGGCTTCATCATTATTTGAGAAAACCTGGAAACAGAAAGAAAAAAATTATTTAAAAAGAACAACAAGAAAAACTGCCTTTAGAGAGTCTTTTCATCTTCTTTGTAGGTGATTAACTCTTTTTAATTACCATTAATGCAAGTTTTCAACATATTATTTGGTAACCCTACAAATCATTTTAGTACACATGATGCAGCCACACATACACTTGCTCTTTCTTAGTGCTAAAATTTAACTGCACAAAACCTACGGAGCCACTATGTAATCATCAAACAGAAAGAAACACACCCCAAAAAGAAGTACTATAGGTAGCAATAAAGGATTCTGCCATAGAAAGACACATATAAACATGCACTATTGGCACGTTTTAGGACCATTCCATTACAGAAAGTGGACATGTTTTATACTGTGTGTTCCATACAGTTCTACACTCTTTGGCACAAGTACATGACAATTGAGAAACTATACTAATATCTTGATTTAAAGAACTTGCTGCCATAGTAGTATGGCTGCAAAAGTATACGACATTTCAAGAAATGCTACAAGAATAAACCAAAGTGCCTCTCACCCAGAATTTCCTACTACTGATGCATCTCCCAAAAAAACATTCAGTTCCACCATCAAGATTACAAGATTAGAAAGCTGGGATTTCCTTCTAGCTGCCATGAAGAACCTTCCTTCTCTTCCAGTATGTGCAAGGAAGACTTTAGATCTAATTGTACACCACTGTTTCTCAGTTTTGATATCACAACAAAAGGCACTTTTTGCACCCACCTTTTTGCACAACAAACAGGCTATCCACACATCTAAGAATAATAAAGCTAAATTTCAACAGGACCAACAAGTTTAATTAAGCTTCCTTTTCGTGCAAATGAACAATAGAGTTACCATAGACTCAAATCTCAAATCATGTGCGTTTGTACTCCAAAAGTATAATCCTAACTCCTTCTCAGAAGACACACTATTTGCTTTAGCAGTTCCACACAGCTGACCACAGGTTTGCACTGATCTGCCCTACATCTAATACCCATTGCTATCTGTATTTTCACCCTTTATGTTGAAATACACCACATACATCACTGGTTTCAGAACTAGTTGACTGCTTCCGAGCACTGAAATTGATAATTTATGGATTTATGTGCACATTCGCCATTTAATATTACCTGTTACTCACAGCTTGTAGGTCATAGCATGGCAACGGTACACACTAGGATTTCTTCTCTTTAGAGAAACAGTCAAAACAAAGACTTAGTTGTAGTTACTGTTGCATCACTTTGAAAATGGATACACACCATCCTCACAGAGCTCAAAATCACCAAGGTGATGGTGGTAATATTCTTGTGCATTACAGTTAAAAAATAAGTCAAAAAAGGAAGTTACCTCCAAGAGCACACACAAGGTCTGTGGTAAAACAGACAAGTGAACTTAGATCTCATAATTCTGGTCCAGTATCCAAAGATTCAGTACCACAGACCACTACAAATCCTCTTTCAACTTCATCACCCTACAGTTGTAGATGCTTCCTCAAAAGCTTTGATATGCATCTAAACTGTACTTTCCATTTATATGCATAAATATGTTTTAAAATATAGCTACTCTGCAGACTCTTACTAGTTTACAAGCAGTTTATCCTTTTGCCAGAACAAAAAATCTATTATTATCCTTCCTCTCTTTAAGCTGGAGACTGCCAGATATACAATATGCTCACTATGTTATTAAGTTAATGAGCTATGAGCAAATTACTATCTAATAAAAACAGATACAATGCATGCTCAAGCTGATATTTGCAGCATAAGCTTCCTTTATGTACTGATCACAAGCCTCTGGCTGCAACCTTCCAACTAATTCCTCACCCAACAGTCTGACCTTCCAAGCCATCTCTCTCCAATTTACAGATAAGGATGTAGTGTAGAACCATGTCAAAGGCCTTGCAGAAGTTCGTGTAGATGACACCAGTTGCCCTTCCTTTGCTCACCGATGCTGTCACTCATTGCAGAAGGCCATCAGATTGGTCAGGCACAATCTGCCCTTGGTGAAGCCATGCTGGCTGTCTTGGATCACCTTCTTGCCTCCCACGTGCCTTAACATGCTTTCCAGGAGGATCTGTTCCATGACCTTCCCAGGCTCACTGGTCTGTAGTTCTTCATTTCTTTCTCCCTTTCTTAAAAATTGAAGCAAAGTTTCTCTTTTTTCCAGTCACCAGGGACTATGCTGATAGCCAAGACTTTTCAAATATAATGGATAGCAGCTTGGCAAACACATCAGCCAGCTCCCTCAAGACCTGGCATACACATCATCAGGCCCCACAGATTTATAAACATCCAGTCTCACAAATCAGTCTCAGACTTACTCTTCTCTTACAGTGGGAGGGATTTTGCCCCCTCAGGCCCCACCTAGAAGTTCAGAGACACAAGAGACATGAGAAGCTTGGCTGACAGAAGCAAAGAACTCACCAAGCACCACCCCCTTCTCCATGCCTGCTGTAGCCAGTTTTCCCTTCTTATTTATCAGAGGGGGTACACTCTTTTGGGTTGTCTCTTCTGAACAATGTACATGTAGAATCCCTTGTTAATCTTCCCATCCCCATCAAGGGCAGTTCTATCTGCGCCTTGGCTTTCACAATCCCATCTCTGCATATCTGGAGGGCATTCCTGTATTCTTCCCAGGCCACATGTCCCTGCTTCCACTGTCTGTGTGTGTCCTTAACTCCCAGTTCAATCAGCTCAGCCATGCCAGTTTCCTGCCTCCTCTGCTTTTTTTCCTATACAGATGGACAGAGCTCTTATGCTCTCAAAAAGGTATCCTTAATTAGCTGCCAGCTCTGCTCCTTTATCTCTAAAGACAACTTCCCAGGGGACTTCATCCAGCAATTCCTTCAGCAGCCTGAAGTTCACTGTCCTGAAATTCAGCGTCCTGACTGCATTTTGCCAGGTCCAGCTTCCTCAAGATCACAGACTGTACAAGGGCACAGTCACTGCTGCCAGAATGCCTCCAAGCTTAATCTCTTTAATGAGGGTTGGTGAGCACCAGGTCCAGTAACGCTTCTTCTCTGGTCACTTTGTCTAATGCCCGGGCCAGGAATTTAACTTCTGCATTAAAAAGCAAAATCATTACAAATCATAGCACAGATTTTTGGGAATGCTTAGTATTTTCCTCTTGTGGGAAAGCTGAAAATCTAAACCTACAACTGAACCATACTCCTGGCAACTCTTATGGGAAAAAGACTTATAATCTTTGTTTACATAAGATATAGTTAGAATTTAAAGTTGGAATGGCAGACTATGTTAAATAAATGAACTAAGTATGACCTGTATGTTTGCATTTAGGAATCCAAATTAAACTGAAAAAAAATTTTAAACAGCAGCTTTTACTCCTCCTTTTAGGAAGTAAGCAACACCAAGTACTGTGCCTCTAACATAAGTCGCAGATGAGGCCACAAACAGATTCAAAGCTGTTTTCTCTCACACACTTCTACATGTTCATGTATGCGCTGGCTACAGTTACCACGCCATCAAGTATTGTTTTCATAGAATTAGCATATTTAAATAAGCAGATTAGCTTCTAGAATGATAATGCATTTGCAAGTCAGAAGACGGCGCCGTCTTTATTGGCTCTTCAGTGCTAGATTTTGGCCAAATGAAGAGCAGACATAGGATAAGATGTTGGTGTCTTTCAGACGAAACTACGTAACGCGAATTTGACAGTACGCAACTGGAATCAAAAGAGAATGTGCAGAGGAGACAATGTATTTCTTTGAAGATCTCCTGATGATCTGAAACTGCCATTTATCACAGAATTTGCTACTGAAGTAATTACCATACGTGCATGTATCACCTCTCTGAGGTAAACAATACTGCCTACTAAATTTTTAAACCGTGACTTTGCTACCTCTCTATTTGAAAAAAATAGAGAAAACCTGCCAAGGAAGTGTTCATCAAATGCTGTGAAAATATTTAATAACCTTGACAAATCTATTTTTCCTTATAGTTAGAAAGCACTGACAACTTTTTCTCTCACTGAAACTTTTTCTCTCAGAGTGGTCAGGCACTGGAATGGCTGCCCAGGGAGGTGGTGGAGTCACCGTCCCTGGCAGTGTTCAAGAGGCGTCCAGGTGAGGAGCTGTGAGATGTGGTTTAGTGCTTGTGGTGGCAATGGTGATGAGGAGACGGTTGGACCGGATGATCTTACAGGTCGTTTCCAACCTTGTGATTTTATGATGGACAATGACATGCCCTTCAAATACCTGTATACAGTAATATTACGAAATAATTGTGGATGTAGAAGGACTATTTCTTTTGCACTTGATTGCAAGTTTGACTGCGTTAGCAACAGGGTATGTAAGACTCCAGAAAAGTGTGCTTTTAACTGTACAAAACTTTGAAATATAACAGGCAAATCAGTGAAGAATGAAAGAGAAGAGGTGACACTGAACATCTGCAACAGAATGCTGCTCTAAAACCAGCTATGAATTTCTAGTAAGCACAGGAGATACAAAAAATGTCTATGTGCTGAAAGGAGTTAGGGAAACAACACAAACCCACAACGGAACCCTGTAACAGTGCTTCACCTCATCTTCTTTCTGACAACTAATTGCACAATCTTGGGCCGTTTCTCACAATCCTGATCTTCCATTATAGCATCTCTGTACATAAAAGACTGGTTACAGTGAGCTAGAAAATGAGTACTTCCTTAAGAAGACCTGATAGTTGCTTACACTAAAAAAAATAAAAATAAAATTGCTCTCCAATTCCTGCAAAGCAGGATCCTCTCCTCAGTAGGGAGCAGGTCGTCATCCAGCTTGAAGGTTGTACCGACACATCTTCTGAGCTGGGGAGGTTCCTCTCCAGCACTCAGAGGATACTCCATTGGCTTCTTCTGGAACTCCTTTTTTTCTTTTTATTGCTTCACTGCATATAAATAGAGCATATATACACATTGTGCAAATAGATCAAATCCAGAAAGAATGATCTCATCTTTTGTTTCCTCTTCCACATTATGAAATGTAATGATTACCACCAGTCCCAGAAAATAACTTCCCCATACATCACACTTAGCTTGTTAGCATTAAAAGCATCCACGTGTTATTCTCTTGTGGTCTAACAATGATAAAGCTCTCCTGTTTACACCAGAATTACTGAGTTGAAGCAACCTCTTTTTGGTGGGATTGCACACACATGATTTTGTACTCTGCTGGCAAGGAACTGTGGTATGAGGAACCTGTTTCTTGGATGACATACTTGATCATATGCTTGATCACACGAGGAATGAGTGCGTGGCCCGAGACAGCCAGCACGGCTTCACCAGGGGAAGGTTATGCTTGACCAATCTGGTGGCCTTCTATGATGGAGTGATGGCATCAGTGCACAAGGGAAAGGCGACCGATGTCATTTACCTGGACTAGGGCAAGGCCTTTGACACGGTCCCCCACCACATCCTTATCTCCAAATTGGAGGGGTGTGGATTTGATGGGTGAGCCACTTGATGGATGAGAAACTGGTTGAAAGGCCGCAGACAGAGGGTGGTCATCAGTGGCTCCATGTCCAGGTGGAGGCCAGTAACGAGCGGCGTCCCCCAGGGGTCTGTCCTGGGACATCGATGAGGGAATTGAGTGCACCCTCAGCAAGTTTGCTGACGCCACCAAGCTGAGTGGTGCACTTAACATGGTAGAAGGAAGGGATGCCATTCAGGGGGACCTCAACAGGCTTGAAAGGTGGACCCGGGTGAACCTAATGAGGTTCAACACAGCAAAGTGCAGAGTTTTGCACTTGGGCATGGAAGGCAAATAGTATCCTGGGCTCCATCAGAAAAGCGGTGGCCAGCAGGGACAGGGAGGTGATTGTCCCCTCTACTCTGCTCTTGTGAGGCCCCATCTGCAGTACTGTGTCCAGGTCTGGAGCCCCCAGTACAAGAAAGACAGGGAGCTGTTGGAGAGAGTCCAGAGGAGGGCCACAAAGATGATCAGGGGACTGGAGCACCTCCCCTGTGAAGACAGGCTGAAGGAGCTGGGCTTGTTCAGCCTGGAGAGAAGAAGGCTGTGGGGTGACCTCATTGCAGCCTTTCAGTACCTAAAGGCAGCCTACAAACAAGAGGGGAGCCAACTCTTTGAAACGGTGGATAATAGCAGGACAAGGGGAAATGGTTTTTAAGTTGAGGGAGGGTAGATTTAGGTTGGATGTCAGGGGGAAGTTCTTTACCAAGAGAGTGGTGAGGAACACAACCAGAGAGGTTGTGGATGCCCCGTCCCTGGAGGTGTTCAGGGCCAGGTTGGATGGGACCCTGGGCAACCTGGTCTAGTATTAAATGGGGAGATTGGTGGCCCTGCATGTGGCAGGGGGTTGGAGATTCATGATCCTTGAGGTCCCTCCCAACCCTGACCATTCTGTGATTCTGTGATGATCAAAAACGTAATTTTTTCCATGAACAAACAAAGGAATATTCATTCTGGTTTATCATGTTTATCTAAATAATTCAGAAATTCCACGTGACTAATATTTTCAACATCAAAAGACAGTCATGCTATTAATTCTGTTGAAAGTTTTTTGTTTTGTTTTGTTTTTTAAGGGATGCATTTTCAGTTGTGATTTAATCGACTCTTCAATAAAGGACTATTTCTTTAGCAGATGAAACCATTTTGTTAGCAGCTCAGCCATTATGGCTTAGTTCCACAGAGATATTTATGTATTTAATTTCCACTGAAATCAGAATAAATGAGGATTTTCAACATGCCAACTCTTAAAAAGGAGGTTCTCAAAAACAACTTTGCTCATTAGAATGCTAAAGCAAGCATTTTTGAGTAAACACAGGTTTGGGAGAGAAGATAACAGAGACTCCAAAGAAAAATCAGTAAAAAGAGAAGACGGATGGACAACGAGATTGAATTATTTAACAAACCAGTAATAAAACCCAAGGGTGGGACACTGTCACCAAAGGACACAGTAGTTTAGAATTAAATCCATTAATTTCCCTTCCCCTACTGTTGACACAGCAGACATACTAGTTAAGTTGTGAACATTTCCATATGTTAAAAGCATCATGTCTTTCAGGTTTCCACTTGTAAGAACAGCATTTTAGTACTATTTATGCAGTAAGAGACACCATAAGATGTTTTAAAAGAAAATCCTTGCAAAAGACAACTGAGGTTTTACCCAGTTCCTCCTATGTGCAGATTTTTGCGCCCCAATGCAAATCCCACCAACCTGCAGCACATCTTTCCTCCTCAGTGGAACTGTTCAAGTGTTGCCCATACAATTTTGCCTTCACCATAAAACTGAAACTACCTTTTGCTATAGCAGAAAGAAAGCCAGAGCAGCTTATGAGAGCTCTAATGTCATCAGTGGCGTGCTAAAAAGTTTTTTTCATTTAGCTACACGAGAAAAATGAAGGAGGAACAGAAGTGGAAACGGTTATACTTGATAAGCAATTTAGGTTTATCTCACGTTACTCTACAAGCTATTTCCTAATAGTCAGAGAATAGCTGCTGTTTGGTGCTTCCTCTGGAAATGTACAATTAATGCACTAGAGTAAGGCAGACAAGGAGAATCATTTAGCACCACTTAAGTAGCAAAATGTAATTGTATCTAGGCAACAAAGCAGTGTTAGATGGCAGAATGGATAAGCATTGCTATCAGGGCTGAAATAGGTGATACCAAAGACAACCGAACCCATGGTAAAGCTTTCTGTACAGTCAAGGACACAAAAAAGAGCAACACAAAAGGCAATGCCATCTCAAACTACTGCCACCTACAGCAGAGTCAGACCGGCAGCCTTTTACTTCAATACTGTTTCCTGCCATGCTCCAGCTGTGCTTTGCCTCCAGCTTTGACTCTACACACTTTTACACCCCAGCCATGCTGCTTACCATGGCAGCTAACCACTCTCCCCAGAGCACAGCACACTGTCTTCTGCAGGCCCTCAGCTTCCTCCTCACTGCCAGATGCCGACTGGATCTTTCCTCTTCCAGAAGTGTGACAAATGTCCTGATGAAAAACAACACCTCATATGAAAGCCTTTTCTGTTGATCCTATGAATAATTACAACTCATCTTCACAGATTAAGATAAAGCACAGCCAGGAATCTCTGTGTCCTTACCCAGTGCTTATCACTGTCCCAGGGCTGCCCATAAGGGCCATACTCCTTTCAAAGTTTCCCCAAGCAAGCTCTGTCCAACATAATAAAACTCATCAGGCAGATGCAGCTAGCCACACTACCCGCTTTACTGCTTGGTTTTCTTCCAGCAAAGCCATCATTCTCATTTCACCAGCGCTGGCATTCAGAGCACATCACTGACATTTTACTGGAGAGCACCACCCTGGCTCTTGCAAGGCCCTGTACCCACTGAGTAGCAGATGAAGGTCAGCGCTCATCTCTGCAGCCACAACTCCACCTCAAAGCCTTCGGCCACCCCAACTCAGATGCCTTGTTGCAGGGAGCAGGAGGTGCCTGAGGTCGCCCTGACTGTTGCTTTGTGCTCCCCAGCTTCTTCTCAGTTAACCAAGCAGCTGACAGCACCCTTTCTTGCACACTCTTCAAAACAGTAGCCGCTTCCAGCCAAATGTATTTGGAACTATCAAGCATTTTTAAGAGTATGGCTTAATCTGATCGTATGCAGTAATTATTAAGGCTTAATAAGTAGGTTACCCAAACTTGTCAGTTGAGCTGACTATCTCTTTAAGCAAGACCTGCCTTTTCTCCTGGAAAGTCACCAAAGAGAGAGCAAACCTCTGAATTAGCCCCACGTACTAAGCAGACTAGCACAATCTGCTGTCTCACCACCACCGTTATTTAAAGTGCTGTGACATTTCTTCAAATGGTTATTTCATTGTAAATTCTGAGACAAATCAAAGAGGCACAGAACGAACTCTCAAAGATGCAGAATTTTTTCCTGTATCATGGCCAAGATTTCTGAGGATGCAGGCTGTCCTCAGCTAACTTGAGTGTGGTAGCTCCTACACTAATTTGTTAAGAATAACAAAGGGGAAATCTGATGGTTGGTAGAATCAGATTGACCTCACTAAATGCAAGTCTAAAATTCAGTTGAAAGATAGCTTTTTGTCAATACTCTCTATTGTGTAACTGGTGTTTTGTAGTCTTCATGATTAAGCCCTATACCTAACCAACAGAAACAGGTTTTGCATTACTATTTGGAAAAACAAAATATTTCCAAGTTTTGCTTCTCCCATGATACAAGTCTTCAATTTCATACACTTAGAGACAGGAGCAACACCGGGAGACAATTAACTCTCTGTTCAGATTATGATCCATTAGTTCATCCTCTTTCTTCTGAAGTGCCTTGTTCGAACCACTACCAGAGATGGCAGAAGAAACACAAAGTACATGAGTGTGTGGGAACTGCTGAATCTCTGAGAGTTGAAACTGCTGAGCCTCTGATTGACCACCTGAGGCGAGCACTGAGTCAGCCATGGAGCACAGGTGAAGGCAATTCAGCTGTGTGATGGAAGGGCTGGAGCCTGGCTGCACCTCTCCCAGACCCATTTAAGAGCTGACTGCCAGTAGGAAAGATCTCTTCTGAAGATCCCTCCTTTGGAGCTTTACAGTGAGCCCAGGACAAAGGTAAGTACTCTATCTATTCTCTTTTTGGTATAATAATCTGCTTAGCCAAACTCTCATGTTTATTTTATAGTTGTAATGTCTGCATATTTGCTGATGATAAAACTATGCCTGGCAAATATTTTCTTCAGGTAGTTTGTATGTTTTGTTGCTGGTGCTGGGTTTGTTGGTTTTTTGTTTGTTTGGTCTTTTCCCCCTTCTATAAAATATTTTAAGGGCTGTATTTTGCTTTCTTCTTCATTACTTCTCTTTAAGATAATAGATTTCCAAGCACAAACAGTATATAATGAAGCATTCATAGGTTATTCCTTTGAAAATGGAGCCTTCAACTGATGTAGTCTTCAGATCTGATTGTTACAACAGACTGTAGGGAAACCCAGATAGTCTGCTTTGCAGGTTTCAAGGGCAACAGATCTGTGAAGGAAAGTAAGTAGACAGACAAACAGTTGTGTTGACTGTAGCCCATTACAAAACTGGATGATCTTTCAGGTTCTGTATCTTTCAGTGCTTTCTTCTTGAGCAGGAGAGCAACAAATCCTTCTCCAGCATTAAACTGATTCAAATGCACTTTGCCAAGTTCCAAGGACAAAGCACTGGCGAAAGGTACCTTTTCCAACCTGAGCAATTCTATGATTATTTGAATATTGAAGTAACTCTGAGTCTCTAAGCAGAAAGACTGAAAGGAATTAAATGCATCATTCACAGAGACTGTGCAATCATACTAAAATTCATCTTGTGGCAAAAATAGTCTCTTGTTTTCACACACTCTATAGAATCATGCTGCAATAAACATTGAAGACATTCATACTGTGACACGTTTTTGGAAAATAGTGTGAGAAAAGCTGTTACCTATTTGCTTAAATACAACAGTATTTGGCTGTAGACAGCCTTTCTGTTTCAGCCATTCAAATTTAATCTAATCACAGGTTCATCGAAGCCCTTAGGAGTTCATCTTTCAAAATTCCTGCTCTGAATCATCATGTCAGCCCATAGTTGTTTTTAGTGCCATACATATGACTAGTTTTATTCCTAGTCTCCAGTATTTTAACCTACAAACTAACACTAAACTGACTGCAATGCAATGGAGAGCAAGCGTACAAACCCAGAAATTCTTCTGCAGGTTGGTTTCTCTAATTTACACCACTCTTCTTTGGATTGATACAGTCCTCCATTGGTCTTGGTCTGGAAGGCCAAATCTTTCCAACATGTCAAATATTTCTAGTGACACCAGCTCATACTGTAAATGTAATTATGGCTTAAGCCCTGTTTGTATGGCTGAAGCAGAATCTCTAAACACCTTTGAGAGCAATTTTGAATACTGTTTTTTTTTTCTGCAAGCATAACTGTTCTTCAAAATTATATTAGAAGATGTAATTAATCATAGAAATGACTCTAAAGCTTCTACAAAGCTGCTTTAAAGCAGTGCTTGATCTGCATCATAAACACTATGTCAGAATTGATGTTTTTCTTAGCACCGAGTGTGAAATTTTTATTATGAAGAGCAAACCTCCACCAGACAATTTCCCCAGAGCATGATCCAGAAAATAAAAATGACACAAGATGTGTTGCTACTGCACACATATATAATGTGCAATTAATAGCAGTTTTCAGTGGCAAGAGACAAAATTATGTACCTCTCCAAGATCACATGTGGGATTACAACTGAGTTCACAGGAAACAGCATTACAGTAGCATTTCCAAAACACTTTAAACTGTTACAGGGAAGGAAGGCATCTGAACTTCAGAGGAGAAGCTGGACACTCACTGAGTCTCTACTATTTGCCAAAGCTTACAGCTCTTGAATTTCTTTGGAAATAAACAACCTTGATACTTTTGCTTCAGAAGTAGATTAGAGACCATTTTCAGAACTATACATTCACAGATGTTATGGCTGTTAACATCCAGGTAATGACTACATCAAGTCATGATTTGGAAATGCTGTTCCTCAGTGAAGCTCTGACCTCAATTTCAACTTCTGATGACAGAAGAGCATGACACGCTGGTAGAGTTTCACATTTATAAAGACTTGATGTCTCGTCTCCTTATTGATTTCAGTTTAGAGAACATATTCAATAACCAGTTCAAAGTAATCAAAGTAATGAAAACAGACTTTACTATCTCTGAAGGAGAGGACAGAAGGACACTAGGACAAAGTACATTGTCAATCACAGCCCATATTTTGATGCTTGACATCTTGCTGCTGCCATTATGCCTTTTCTTGTAGGCCATACAGCAGCAGTTTGTGGTCGTAAGTAATCATAAATGGGCAAGTACAGGCAGGGGCACACTCCCAGTTCCAGCCCTCCTCTTCCATAAATACAATAGCTTCTCCAGGGTGAAGGTAACAACCCAGATGGAATCACTCAAGAGACTGAAGAGTGTTGACAGGACAGTGAAGGAAATGGGAAAATCATGCAGTTTATAGATTCTGGACTTGCTTTTCTTGAGCAGGTTTGAAAATAACTGACAAATCCCTCCTTAAGCACTGAAGTCTCAAATGAAAGTAGCAATGTAAGTTCAAAATAGCTGAGACCATTTTTCCTTGACCATTCAGGTAATTTTGCAACTCTAATCAAAAATACTGAAACTGATCCTAGGGCAGATTCCACCACAGTGTCATTCACAGGGACTTTGTGATCAAAATTAATTTTGCTTCAAAAATAATCCACTTGGTTCCATGCAGTCTTGGGGAATAACATTATACTCAGATTTTTCAGATATTCATAGCAGGGTGTATTTTTAGAAAAATCATTCTGAGAAAAATTTGATCTTCAACAAACCATCAGTAAAAATATGTTCAAGCTCAAGAATAATGAGTTTAAATGTCAACAGAAACAGGCAAGTAATTTCTTGATCCTGAAAAATAAACATGGATTTGACAGAGGAGACAGGAGAGTGCTCTGAGTTCTATCCCTTAGAAAAGTAATCTAATCTTTTCCATTGTAACAGTGCATACTGACTTTGAAGTGATGAATCTAAGAGCTGCATTCTTAAAAACTCAAGAAATCACTGTTTGTGTTCACCTCTGAAGTTTTACAAGGAATTAAGGTTTCCCACCACATACTATGAAGTTCCAGTGGGAAAGCTGTTTTACAGAAGCTCAGACAGAAGACTGGACTCCAACCCTGCCACGTCCAAATCAAGTTGCTCAATATATCTTGCTCAAGAAGGATCAGAGGTTCTATCTTTTTTTTTTTTTTTTGAGCATGCTAGAACATAAAACAAACAAAAATAAATTGTAAGGAGTATACCGATTACCTTCCTGAAAAGGTTATTAGAAAGAATGCAAATGAGTGTTGTGATTACTGTCTGAACTTAGCTCCAGGCTACCGTTTGAACTCAGAGCGAGAACTCTTTGATTGCACAATTTAATATGGTTTTGTCATACTTAGCATATCCCTTTCAAGTGCGTTTCTGATTTACGAGAAATATTACCAGAACCATTAGACAAGTTGGTAATTTATAATGACATTGATGCTGTTATTCTAGCTTCTAATTGACAAAACAGATGAAGTACTGTTAATGTATAGCGTTCTGCTGGCGTTCAGATCAATACTGTCACAGTGCCAAGATTAGTACTACTTTACTCCATTAACCTAAAAATAGTTGCTATGCTTCAGTCAAAATTTGACTTCAGTTTCAACTTTCCACATCTGCTAACCCCACACAGTCTCTAATTTTTAACAAAGATCGCTAAATCAGTGTTCTATTGCAGTCTACTGTCAAAATAAGCAAGCAATAAGCCAATGGTCTTTCTGATTTGTAGAAACACCAGTATTCCCTATATTGAAATGTCTCGTGTTATCTGGTCAAAATGAATCCCTTTTTCATCTTCCTCAGAGTTGAGGTAATGTAAAGTGTTTACTTATATCGTGAAACACCTCATCAAATATTTTATTCTTTTTGTTTCCATACCTGCAACATGGAATAAATCTGTTTTTATTGAGCTAGCTTTTCAGATCTTCCACATCAGAGAAGCCCCATAGCATGCATGAAGGAAAGCCAATGCAGAGCGGGATGTCATCAAGTCACATCACAACCATGTCACCAACTCCACACCACCTACAGCCACACTCACTGGTGTTTGCTATCCCTTGTAGCAACATATATTTCCTATGTCTTCTGCTGATCAAGTCTGACTACTCTAAGTACACAGCACTACAGAGAGGTGCACTGCCAGTGCTGGCTACCCATATTATCATTCCTCCTCACGTTTCGCCTCTCAAGGTTGTTTTGCTCAGGTTCAAAATACATGGGGAAGGGACAGAAGGAGCATGATTTGTGCAAACGCAATAGAGAAATTTAACTTACGCTGCCACAGAGGAGCATCCCGCTTCCCTCCATAGGGCTTGGCACTCCACCCCAAGCAGGACACCCACAGCTGCCTCATACACATTAAACCAACCTTCTGCCTTGAAACACCGCATCGCCCCATGCGCGAAAGCCTGGCAGCCTTCCCCGTACACAGCCGCCGCTGCGAAGCGATCGGGCGGCGGTCGCCGAAGTTGAACCCGAAGCCGGGGCTAACGCCGGCACCGTTCCCGAGCCCGGCAGGCCGCTCTCGGCTCCCCGCCACCTGCTGCACGCAGCTCCCCTCGCCCCGCAGCCCCGCACAGAGGCGCTCCGCCGCTCTCTCGCCTCCTCCACACGGCAACGCGCCCGACCCCACGCCCACCGCATACGCACCGCAGCTCTGTTGTGGTTATAAATCCACCTGCGCATACGCATCGATCCACCGCCACGCATGTTTATGTGCACGACCCGCGGCCGCTCGGCGCGCACGGCGGACCGCACACGTATGTGCAGCGCGCACACAGCCGCGGCCACACCCAGCGCTGCACGCCTGTGGAAGTGCCCCCACACAGCGCTGCTCCTCACGCATACACACACACACACAGCACCGCCAGCCCAGCCCGCACGCATACACACACACGCACACAGCCCGCCACGCCCTGGCAGCTCCGCACCGCCCTGCCGCGCCGCCGCTCCCCGCCCTGGGCCCGTAGCGTCCGGGCCGAGCCTCTGAGGCACTGCGCGCCGCCCCGGGGCCGAGGGCCTTGCGGCGGGCTCACCATGGCAGAGGCGCGGCGGCGAGGCCGGTTGTCCTGGCGACGCGGAGCCCCGAGGACGGCGCCAGGTGCAAGGGCTGCGCGCGCGCACCGCCGCCGCTGCCTCCGCCGGAGCCGGGGCGGGGCCGCCGCCGAACCCACGTGACCGGCACCGCCCCTGCGCGGTGGGGCCTCGCGCCGCACCGCCTCCCACCCACCCCCCCTCACTCCCAGCTTGGCGGCTCCTCCTTCCCGCCCCAGGTGGCCGCCTCAGGGGACGGCGAGATGGCGGCTGTGGGTGGGCCTGTCCTCAGCCAGTCTCGGGTCCTTGCACGGGCTCTCCCGCGGCTCCAGTGCAACCCCCTCCGTTCCCGAGCTATGGTGTCCCACCGGTGGGCTGCTCCTCCAGCCTCAGATTGGGATTTGCAGCTCTCCTATCAGGAAGCCAAGCTCTTTAAAGTAACGCGCGCTGTCAGTCGCTCGTGTGAACACTGCATAAAACCACGCTCAAAGGCAAGGACAGTATTGTCAGTAGCGCTTACAGGTTACATCTGTTCAGCAGTCACAATACCGCATACAACACCGAGGAGATAGATGGGTTCTGCTCCTGAGTTTTGCCTATTCCAGCAGGCGTTGCTTTCTGTTGGTGCGACCTCCAGGCTTGCAGGAGACAGAAGCGGCCATTGTAGAAAAACACAAATTTGCTGTTTGGAACAAGCTGCCTTCATTCCTTGAAGAAATGAGACATTCTGGTTTGATTAACAGCAAAATATGTTTTCTTAGGAAAGTGCCCTTTCTCAGAACCCACAGAGAAATAGTTGGTGTGTACACATACCATTTGTTGGCACTTCTCTGGACCTACTGTCTCGCTCTCCAGATTTCAGAGAATAACCTGGTTCATACGTACAACTGATCTGGTTTGTATAGCAGGGAAGAAAGCCTCAGAAATGTGAAATATGTATAAACAATTCGGACACGTTCAGCTGAATTGCAGGAGGCCTAGGCTAGCAGTTCCTGAGTCGTACTGCTTCACATAAAAAATAAAATAAAATAAAATAAAAAATGATTGTTGCATGATTTTTAGTTCAATGTGAATTTCTGGACTCTCATAAAAATAGTGATAGATTTTCTTATCACTACCATAAAGAGAAAGCAATTTAAGGAGCCAGAATCACTTAGAGTTGCAACAACCTGAAGAAAAAAGAGATCATCTTTTACAGAAACAAGAGACCTTGCAGAATAATGACTGCATTTGTTTCAATGGAATTCTGAACAATTGGCCCAATAGGGATCTCTTTGAAGCAAGATGAGAGACAAATGTGGAGCAGGCTTTCCATGGCCCAACATCAGTTCTCATTTGATCAAAAACTGTGGGAAGGAATGGAACATTACAGAATAGATTTGAACCAATATTTTATGTATTAAAAGGCTGTAGGAGAAAAAACTCCTTGTTTCTTCCCTCAAGAAAGAAAAAGCAATTATGTATTTGCCACCTGTGAATGTGCTCAGGATTTGAGAGAGTGAAATCTTTTATCTTTGGATCCAGACCAACTAATGATGATATAGTGCTGCACCTACTGACTTTCTGGACTATTTTTTTCTTTTTGAATTGCATTGTGATATAACTTGAAAATTCAATCCAAGAAAAGCTTACTCAAAAAAAACCCAACCCTTTAGTCAAGCTTCAATTCTGACAGACAAGCAATTAGTTGGGAAGGAGACTTCACAAATGTGCATACATCTTGGTCTGTCTTCTCCATTTGCCATCTGTGGAATGTCTCAGCATCCCCATTTGAAGTGTGAAGAGAATATATCCACAATTAGTGTCTTGTTTTCAACCGATGCACTGCAGTGCTGTTGATGGAAAAAACTTCATTTGAAAATTTTCATCCAACTCTCATTTTATCATTTTTCTAAAATGATCAGGTTTTTAGCTAATGCTTTACACTGGTCATTCTAGAAAGACTGGTTAACTAGCTATTACTGATGTATTTTACTTTCTTACAAAACTGTATTCAGCAGCTCAACTTTAACTTGGCTGCCTTAAGTTCCTCCTAATCGTTCTGGACTCTCATTAAATGCTGACCCAGTTCTTTTCTTAATTTTTTTTTTTTAACCAAACTTAAAATAAGTGAAAAATGATTTAAGTACTTGCCATGGGAAATGAACAAATGTCAACTATAAGAGGGTGGGTTAGTTTGCAGAGAGTGTAAGGGTTTAAAGCAGAGGGGCTTCATTCTGGAGGCCGTGCTCTTCCTAAACAACAGCTTTGGGGCGTCTATGCTGTTAGGTTCTGCAGCCCAGAAGGGACTTTCAGATTCTAGCTGCAACAACTGAGAAGCCCAGTGTTGCAGCCTGCGTTTTATTTCTGGATTCCAGCCATTTCATTCATTCTTTCCCTAACTTCAGTCCCTAACCACTGAAAATTTCCCCAAGCATATTGTTTCCCAACCTTGCCAGGCTGCAGTTACTGAATATTTGGAGTGCAGGAGAAAACTTGCCATGCAGTAGTTTCCTCTACAGTGGTCGTTTGATTGCCTTCGAGTCTAGAACTGGCTTGGTATTCTTAGCAGTGGGCTCAAGCTTATAAATTTGTGTAGAGTTTTCTTCCAGAAATTTGCCTCACTAGCTGTAGGAACTTGGATTGAAACAAAGTAATTACTTGTCTTGTCTCACTTTTCCTTCTTTTCTTCCTATCTCCTTTTATGCAAGTCAAATGAGAGTAGGTCCTAGAGGCCAGGCACCACATATTACGGATGCAGCAGTTCCTGGCTATTTGTTACAACTCTTGCTTCCACAGCACACCCAAGGCTGGTATTTGTGCTAAGACTGTTGAAGAGCTTAGGATCTTACTTAGGATCTTGTTAACACAACTCAGCTGTGAAGGGCTTTGACTACAAGCGTGAAGGAAAATGGCAGTAAGTGGTTAACTTTTGAAACTACTAACTGGTTCTGAAGCTCAGCTTTTCTTCAGTTAAATGATTGCAACAAGAAGCTCCATACCTACTAATTGTCATTACAAGTAAAAATGGTTGGGGGGGATATCATGTTTCTAGGATGCTTTTCTGATGTGCTGTGCATGTTCACACTGAAGCATAAAAAGGTCATGTTTTAATGTCTGACATAGCCTTTCACGTGCATCAAGACTCATACACTGAGACTTCCCAAATTGTTTTCCTTCCCTGAGCAAAGCTCCAGCACATGCCAGCTCTGTGCCATGATTTATGCTTCATGGTATTGCTGTCTCTTTAGAAGTTGCTTTGATGCTACTAGTAGTGCACTCACTGTAGGTTGGGAATATCCTGCCCTACTCAGACAATTTGTTGGTATGCTAGCTCCTCTCAGCAAAATGTTAACAGTAGTAAATCTGCTGTCAAGATCTTTTCTACTTAGGAAATTAGAGGGAAACAAGCAGATCTTTAGTTGAGTATACCAGGACTGACTGCCATTTGGGTAGTGGTGGTAGGATTGACTACCCACTCGGGTAGAATCAAACTAATACCTCTATGCTTTTCTTTCCTGAGAGGGACTTGAGCAGCGCTCAGATTGTATGGAGCTGTCAATGAGGGAGAGAATTGTCAAGTAATTGGGAGCTACTCACAGTGATATCCTGAATATCTTATCAGGAGTGGCAGATTGCTTTTACTTAAGTTCAATTTGTTTGAAGGAGTAGTTGGGTTGTGTACAGCATTTTATGTGTACAAAACATTAAAAGTAGGGGACTGCTGAGCTGGTGATTATTTAAGTAAACTGTGCATACACAAATGCTCAGAACTAGAGAGCGTTCTGAGTGTTCACTAGAGGTGAAAAACTGAAAGAGGTGAGCATGTCTTTGTGAGGCCTCTCTATCATCTTTGTAAGGTCACGGTGGTCCCTGAAAACTGGAAAAAGGAAAATGTCACACTCAACTTCAAAGGGCAGAAAGGTCCAGGGAGCCACAGACTCTCCTTAGTCCTTGGAAAACTTACGGAAGAAGTCCTAATGGAAAGTGCCACATGAGCATACAGTAAGGTGACATGAAACTTTCAGCAGATGAACTCTGACCATTGTGACTGTCTTTTAGGTTGAAATGACTATGGATGGGGGGAAGAACATTGTCAAGACATTTTCTTAAGTGCAGCCTTCTACACAGTTTCTCATAGCATCCTGGCATAGTGACATAGTGCATCCTCAACCACTTCATTCCTGGATTGTGAGGAGCAGGTAACATGCTGTCAAGTAGGGCAGCCATTCGGAGGGAACTCTGCGAGCTGTGGAAATGGGCTGACAGGAATCTCAGGCTATTTAGCAAAGGCAAATGGAAAGTCGTACATCTGGGATGTAGTAACATCCATGATTACAAGGCTGGAGGCTGGCTGGCTAGAAAGCAGCTCTGTAGGAGGGCACATGGGCATTCTAGTGTACAGTGAACTGAACGTGAGTGACAAGTGTACTGTGGCAGCAACAAAAATTGCATTAACAAGAGAGGTTGAGGGACGTGATTGTACCAGCTACAGCATTTGTGAGACTACTTTTGAAGTGCTGTAACTAGTTTTGTGTCCTGGTTGTCAGGGAGATGTTGACAAAATGGAGAGTGCAGTAGATGATCATTGCATTGTCTTCTGAGAGTCATCAGACATAATTTTCAGCCAAAGAGAGTGTGTGTGGCAACTTCTTTATAAAGCATTCTCAGCATCTTTTCTT